TACAGTACTTAGTGAGTACATTATGGCTTTAAAAGACATTTTTAATGGGTCACTGTATTTGTTCAGAGCAAATTTTGAAGTTGTGATAAGAATACCTTGTTTGCATTTTCCTATGAAATAACCTTTTGTACTGTTGAGCAACTGTATTGTTGAGCAATAGAGTAAGTTTTCTTTTTATACAAATTTTACTTAACACAAATAAAGATATAGCAATAATTATTCTAAATAGATTCATGTATTACATCATACATTTTTGCTCTAAGGTCTGAAATTTTACTTTTCCACAAATACAAATGTTATTTAGCACATTGCATTTATAGTTTTTTGTTATATTAATCCTCTTTGATGAAACCACTTATTTCCACAACCCGCACATATATTTTCAAATTAAATTTTTCAGTATAGGCCCATGCAAATGTGAACATTTAATAAATACTTTGAAGATAGTTAGGAATTCAATTCAACAAACATTAAGTGCCTATCGTGTGTAAGGTATTATAGATGTTTAAGGAAGCATTGCACATAAAGATAAGTCTATATTGTAGAATGTAAATTATTTTAAGGGCTTTAAAAACAACATGGTAGACATTATTATAGAAAAAATGATTAAAATTATTCCTTTAGTTTTAGTTTATACTATACTAAAATGAGTAGGGAGTGATTGGTGCAAAGACTGATATATTAATAATGTAAACAGTATACAGTATAGTAAAATTATTTGTGTTAATGGTGAACAGAGATAGCATAGACAACAGAAACTCAGAGATATCCCCAAACTCTATTCAATAATCTCACTGACCAAACCTTTGAACTAGGATTGTTTACAAACTGACTCATTTGTATGCCATCTTCTCTTTGCTTCTTCTGAACTTATGAAAAAGGTATTAATAAGTTGTGAGATGGCCAAAATGCAAATGGTCAACAAGAGCAGAGGATTTGTATAATTCATAAATTAGATCATTCATTTACTTGATAATTTTTAACTATTTGTAGTACCACTTCTAAGTTAATTCGAAGCAATGGCACAGAAAGAGTTAATCTTGGTGTTTTTTTGTTCCCCCCCACTCCTCACCCCTCCCCCAATATATCCAGATTCTTGGATAATGAATCGAGTAAACATGTATTCCATTCATCGGTGGTGCAGTCTGACCTTGGTCTATGACAGAGGAAAGGCGTGTCTTCTCAAACTGCTCCCTATGAACAAAAGGCAAGCAAATGAGGGTGACTCAGGACTTCTAGTGGCCTACATGCAAGTGAACATTTTTCTGAATGATTCCACGCATACACTTAGGAATCAGGAAGAGAAACATTTTACTCTTCACTAACCAAATAAAACTATCTATAAATCATATGCAAAATAGCTTCGAGTAACTGGGGGCTCATAAAAGTCTAGGAATTAAAAGAACTTCCTTAGTTTCCCTTATTTTTTTTCCCCTTGGAAGGGTAAGAGCAGGGTAAGGCTGTCACATCAACAATCAATTTGTCGTTGGTGGTGTTTTTTTTAAAGGGGAAAACCTGAAAACAATCACTTCTAGTGTATCTTTGGAAAATATCTTTTTCATCTTTTAACTGCATTTTCCTGTTGTATTTTTAAAATTTTAATTTAATAAAACATTTTTGGATTTAATACAAACTACAAAAACAAAAACTGAGCCAGTGACAGGACACATTTATGCTACTTACTAAATAACAAATTTTGTTGCAGAGGATTCCACTATATGATTTCAGTAACAGCATCTCTTACAGTCTGCATTCTGCAAACTTCTAATATTAGTGAAATATAGTTGATGAAGGAACTCAAACTATAAGTGTATTCCTTGTAACTATTACTATATGATGTTGCCATGATGTTTTTGCTTTAAAACATTATATGTGAACTTGCTACCCTCAAAACAGTTATACACTTTCATTAAGTTAAAGAAATAAATCAATGAAGGAAATGAAAGGCTAAGTATATTCTAGAAAATCTGTTGCTATATAAACATATGCATTAATTTCTACCTTTATTTATAGCCTTTTCCCATAATTTTCTCATTTACAAATTCACTGGTTTCAAAAGTGCGTTATTTGAAACTGAGACATGGCTTTTTGTCTTTCACTTTAATTCTGAAGCTTCCCAAAATGCACTCCTTTCATGTCTTGAGAGCCTTTAATTCATTGCATCTACTGGCATGACCCAACATGGCTCTCTCACTTTTATCACACAGTTCTCAAGAAAATATAGTTCTTTATATCTTGTAAAGCTCCTTACTCCCACTCCTGCCACCAATTTCATCACTCTCAATTTACCTCCAACCTACTGTTGTGGAACAAAGGATTCCACTATTGTACACTGGAAAAATAAATAAATGCTCAACCTAAATATTTCCTTGTTCATGACTCCCCCCCACCCCAATATTTCTCTCCTTACCCAGATGTCTTTTCCCTGACTACTTTTTGTACTAACAGTATCCTTTACGCCTCATGTCCTTTACCCAATCATTTCTCCAGTAACAAAACAAAAACAAAAGTCCATATCCTTCAGTAGCACTACCACTGTCTCACTATCAGTGAATGCAGGCAGCAATTCTGAATTGTACCCCCCAAAAAGCACCAAGAAATGGTCATCGCTCCCAATGTCATTTTATTTAATGCTAAAATTTTTAATTATTAATATAACAAATGACAGTGTGGGTTGAACTTCTAATGAGAAATTGTAGGCTATAATGGTGATATCAAAGATTTCACACTCATTTTTGTTATCACTACCAAGTCAAGAAAAAAAAATTTGTATCTCTTTCAACTGTTTTCCTCTAAATGAAAAAACCAAAGGTTAAAAGGTGGTACAAAACGAGGCACCTTTCAAAGACTTGCTGGCCAAGGGAAGTTTTATCACAAAAAGTTGTAAACCATCTATCTGTACATTGTCATATAGTTTAATAGGACACATTAGAGATGGTACACGTTTAATTTAAGAAATTGCTAGTGCATAACGAGATAGGTACAACACTTCCCCTACCCCCCAAATTTTGTTATTAGTGCTGAAAACATTGCTGAGTTATTAGAATTGGAAATTTGATACTGCCTAGGTATGGTAGATCACTGACATTTCTTATCCAGCTGTGGAAGTTCCTTCTGCACTGTCATCAGGTACAATAAAAGGTCAAGCAAGGTCCATTCCCAACAATTCCTGGGCTTTTAAATACATAAATGAATGCCAGAAAATAACAAAGATATTAATACTGCCCAACTAAAAGAATTCCATGAAATCTTGTACAAGTGCTACTCAGACCTTTTGCAGGAGACATTTTGATTAAATCTCAAACTCTCTTCCACTGTAACATCAGCCCTGAAAAACGTTTCGTTATTGGTTCCACAGCTGGATGAAGTCTTATCTAAACAGCAAGAAATGGTTATTCATTTTCTGTAGGAATATCTGTATTAAGATTGCAAGACTACAGATAGCTAAAACACACTGGGTGAACCAACTGCCTAACTTGTTACATCTGTGAGCCAAAATCCACTTTTTAATGAAGTATCTAGATGTACATTTAAACAACAGACCAACATGGTTCCGAAGAATTCTTTACAGCTGTGTTTATCTGCATTTAAAATTGCCTGTATGTGTTGCTGCATTGTTTACATAACAGACTGGTCTGGATTGACAGTCAAATATGCTCCAGTTTTGTAAAAAGCATAAAAATTACTTAAATTGGTTAATCATTCAAGTCTGTATATATTGTCATAATGATGATATGAATGTAATAGGGATCTGGACAGGATTAATTGGAGTGTAGTCATTAAAAACAGTAAGAAAAAATGCTCTACTTGGTACAGTATCTGATGTTCAAGTGTTAATAACTTGACTCATGGTTTTTTTTAAATTTCATCCACTGAAGACTGTATAAATGTCAGAATTTTTTTTTTAAATTAACTGAAGACAATCCAAAGCTGGTAAATTTTGTGTTTTTCAAAATAAAAGTTGTGCAGGTACAAATGTGAACACAAAAACTGCCCAAGTAGGCCCTTGAGTTCTTCAAGAGACTAATCTTTTTTTTTTTTATGGTCAACTTCGAAACACTAGACCAAGAGATTTTGAAATACTGTTCCTGACAATATTATGTATAATAGCACACACTTCCCCCCTCCCCCTCCCCCAGTATCAATGTAACACAACTATTTCTAATAACTGATTTATTGGTTTCAAAAAAATCATTTACTGATGCAAAATTTTGATCAAAAGAAATTCAATTTACAAGTTTCCAAAAATAGTTTTTAAAATGGGGTATGTCTTTTGTAAAATTCTTAATTTCTTTCATTTGCACTATTTTATTTGATCACTTTTCAGAACAATATTATTTATTCACTTTGTGTTTCAAACACATGTAAGAAGGAAATTACAGGTTTCCTCCACCCACATTTGGGCTGTCACTGATATGCCTGGAGGCAATTCTGGCAGAACCTCAGTTGCTGCTGTCATTGTACCACACTGTATTTACCACTAACTGGAAATAGGATGTAGATGATAGCATCAATAGCAACAATACTACAGGTAACTGATGATTCCCTCCCCCCACCCCAATAATTTCAAAGTTCACTATACTACAACTTCTCTTGTGACTTCTCTCAAAGGAAAAAAAAAACAAAAAAACGAGAGTTTCTAGGGCGTTGTTTAAAAAAATATAAAGTGGCGCTGCAGAGCTAGGATCTTCTCAAAGATGGCAGTGCCATGCTGTATACACCACAATCAATTATAATTGCCTTCCATCACTGAAATTGTACATTATGTAATCAACTAAAGCATGCAGCTTTGTAATCTTACAACTGATCACATGAACAGCAGTCGTTTGCTTTTTTAAAACACACCAAAAAAACCCAACCCCCTCCCCAAAAAAACAAAAAAACCAACAACAACAAAAACCACACACACACACACACCACGCAATACAATCCCAGAAATCCCTAACTCAGCAGCGCCTCTCAGACAAGTCACCCTATGGCCCAAGAACTGAACTTTTAAGTAGTAGAGAAAAATTCAGTAGACTTTTTGTCTACTTTTTTATTACTATACAAGGACAATGTTTAGATGTGAACCCCTTTGTTATTTCCTATAGTGATATCCCCATTTAACCATCTTGTCCCTTCCATTTGCTTTCCTTCTCAAGCATTCTGCCTCCTTTTCGATTAAAGAAAGGGGCCAAGAATAAGGAATAATAGACAGTAAGGCGATCTTACAATGTCAGAAAATGTATTTGGCTTTTTTTTCTTTTTAAAACAAGTGCATACAAATACAGCTAAAAGCATTTCTGGTTTGCCAAGTGCTCTAAAAAAGCAGCGCAAGTCACAGCCTACATTAAACAGTAACTGTCACCAGGATAATAAAGCACAAAGATCTGCTAATAACGTTAACAAAAGAGGAAAATGCCTCTATAAGTACATACCTTTTGTCGTCAAAAAAAAAATATAGAAACACAATGTATTCAAAAAAATCAAAATTATACAGCCATGTTTATGAAGTCTACATTTCCCTTGTCTTGGATATATATATAGAGAGAGATATATACACAATTCAAGCAGTTTTAGATAAGGGTGATCATTGGGTTTTTCTGAAACTGGAAAAGTCACGAGTCTCTTTCTTTTTTCACTTTCACATCTCCAGCAAGAATGGTCGCAATTTCCCCCTGCATAAAGGCCCAAGGGACATTGGAGCCCACCAGAGGGCATTTCTCCCCACTGGGACAATAGACCTCTCCACTAGCTCCCTGCTGTTTGATGCTTTGTCTGGAGCAAGGAAAGCAAAACTTGTGCGAAGGAACCGAAGGGCACTGCACGAAGTGGGTGTCCTCAAGACGCTCATGGCACAGGGTGCAACACAGTGGGGCACTAGCCGCCAAAGAGGAGTCCGGGAGGCTGGCGGGGTGTACTGGTTCCAGTCCCCCAGTGCTGGACCCCTGGTTCCCCACTTCTCTGGGGCCCAGCCTTCTTTGGTTCATAGAGGATGGAGAAGGTGGACTGTTGCTATTCCTCCTGGTAGTGGAGTGAACTTGGTTGGCATCTTTGGAGGCATGATTGCCCCCTGCATTGTCTGCTACTAAGATCAGAGCTGCCATGGGGGACTGACCATTCTGAGCCGCTTCTGGCGGTGTGGTCCGGTTGGAATGAGGTGAGACAGTGGGTGGTGGTGGAGACACAAACGGTGTGGGAGTCATGGGGATTTTCATCCCTTCTGTTTGGGTTGTTAACCATGGCTGTGCCTCTCCATTGATCTTGGGAGGACCAACTTCACCTTCTGGTTCTGGGGAAGCTTTCCTCTTCCTTGCTGTACGAGCAACTAGGAACACAAAGAAGAAAAAAGGGGGAAAAAGATAAATACGCATATGCAGTGATCCTCCGAGTCAGGGTCTAGAAAAACCCCACAATATTCTTTTTTTTTTAACCTAAGATTCTTAATGCATAACCAAATTGTAGGTGTCAGCATATGCTGTTTTAAAGTGTCTAACAGGAATACTGATGTGAAAAAAAAAGGATATTGCCACAAAAAGAAACTTATTTATTTAAAATAAACTATATGTACTTCTACACACCAGAACGTGAAACGTGTGCTTGCTTGCCTCTTTAAAACTGTATCTAGGAAATGATATAATATCAACAAGTGTGTACAATAGAGTGGATTGTGTATATCTGACTAAATACATGTCTGCTGAACAGGTTAAAAGGTGACTAGGGCCTTCATAACTCCTATCCCAAGAATGTGCTAGGAAAGGAAAACCCTCTGTCAGTGTCTATCACCCCAGTCTGACTCATCTCTGTTATGCTGCTTCAGCACATGAACACGTTGCCACCTAAGCAATGGTTCCGCCTTATGCAGATCAGGAAGTCGGGTGTTTGTTGTTTCTGGGGGCTGGGGCAAGGTGGCAAAGGAAAGCACCCCCCAAAATCCTCACCCTACTCGCTCCCCGCCCCCGCCCCGAAAGCGGTCCACCGTGAGCCAGCAAGGTGAGGCCTACCTGCTTTGGCCCCGTTGGCGCCGTTGGCCTCGAAGCCCAGCATCCTGGTGGGGGCCATGGCCGGCTCCTTCTTGAACTTGCTCTCGAAGGGCCCCGAGTGGCCGTGTTGATGCAGCGCCAGCAGCGTGTCCCGCACCGTCTTAGGCTTGTTCACCCAGTCCTGCTCCCCGGGCCCCCGGCCCTTGCCTCCTCCCTCCCCGCCGAGTTCAGCCGCGCCCGGCACCGAGACGCCAGCCGCGGTGGCCGCCAGGTTGTCCGCGGGACCCCGGTGAGCAGCCTGGGGCTGCTTCTCCTTGGCCGCCTCCCGCGGCTCGTGCTCGGTCCCCGCGCCGCCGCCGCCACCGCCACTGGACACCGAGCTGGGCCGCTTGTGGCCGCTCAGCTCGGAGGTCTGCGCGGCCCCCAGGGGGGTGCTGGCGTTGGTGGAGATGGCGGCGAGCGAGGCGGCGGCGGCGCGGCCGCTGAGACTTAAAGCCGCGGGAAGCGGCGCGGCCGAGCCGTTCATCAGCGGCACCAGGGTGGGCGGCACCGCGTGGCTGCGCCGCGGGTTGGGGCTCTGGCGGTTGAGCTCGGGCGGCTCCTCCAGCTTGGAGAAGCCATTGGGCACCAGGATGCCGTTCACTTGCTGCTGCTGAGGCGGGGGCGGCGGCTGCTGCTGCGGCTGCGGGGTCGTAGGCCCGCCCGCAGGCTGGCGGCCCGCTCCGTACTCGGAGCCCAGCCTCGGAGGAGCCCGTTCGGCCGAGGCGGCGGCGGGCGCCAGGGGGTAACGTTCCAGGCCCTGCGGGGCCCGCGAGGCCGCCTCAGCAGCGCCGGCAGTGCCGTGGCCCAGCTGCTGCTGCTGCTGCTGCTGCTGCTGCTGCAGGAGGATGTCCTTGGTGGAGAGTGGAGGCGGCTTCGAGGCGGCCGCCGTGGCCGAGCCCGGCGGGGAGCGGCCCTCCGGGAAGCAGCCGTGCGCCCGCTTGAGCTGCCGCGCCGTCTCGATGACAAACTCGACCCGGTCAGCGCCCTCGTAGTTGACGCAGCCTCGGCATACGGGCTCCGTGAAGTCCCAGATCATGGCCCAGGGCATGCGGGGCAGGTCACACAAGTAACATGACTGCCGCCGGGAAGCGGCCGCCACCGCCACAGCCGCGGTCGACATGTCCGAAGAGGAGGAGGAGGAGATGGAGGTGGTAGTGGTGGAGGAGGAGGAGGAGGAGGCGCCGCCGCCCCCCGCCGGCAACACACGCACCCTCCCCCCCCTCCAACCCCGCAACTCCCCGACCAGCGGAGGCGGCGGCAGTGGTGGCTGGAACTGCAGCCGCGGCCGAGGCAAACCCCGGGAAACCTTGGCCCCCGTGCAGCGCTCCCAGTGCAGAAGGGGCGGGGGGCGGGGAGGAAAAGGGTGCAGCCGAGGTGGCAGCAGGTCCCCTTTCCCCGTGCGGGCCCGTCGGGGGCTGCTGCAGGGCGGCTGGGGTTGCAGCAGCAAGGTCCCGGAGTCTGTGCAAGCTGAGGCTGCAGCAGGTCTCCAGACCGGTGCAAACACCGGACGCGTTGGTGCAGGGGAGTGCAGCAGGTCTTCGGGGCCGGTGCTAAGCGAGGAAAAGGGGGTGGGGATGTGGAGGGGGGCGGGGGGAAGGGAGGCGGGTGGGTGATGTGGTGCAGCCGCCGAGGGTAGCTAGCCCGAGTGGCGGTGCATGCCGCACCGAGGTGGCAGAGTCAGCGTGGAGTTACTATGCAGCGCGGCTCTCCGAGTCAGTCGTCCCTCACAACTACAGCTGCTGCCGCCGCCGTCGCCTCCACCACCTACTGCTTCCCCCAGTCGCTGGCGTCACCGCCCAGCCCCAGCTACCACTGCTACTGCCGCCGCTGCCTCTGCCTCTGCCTCTGCCGCTGTTACTGCTGCTGCTGCTGCTGCTGTTGCTGTTGCTGCTGCTGCCGCCGCGGCTGCTCCACTTCTACAGACTTGATTCTTCGACAGCCTCCGAAGGCGCCTGCGCGTTAGGGTCCCCCTCCTTTCTCGCTCTCTTTTTTTTTTTTCTCTTTTTTTTCTCTCTTTCTCCCTCCCAGTTCTGTGCTCATTGAACTTCTGCCAAGATAACAAGAGCTGCAAGAAGAACCAGCTCCTTGCTCCGAGCGCTGGCTTGTCAGAAGCCGTTGAAGGGGGAGGGAAGCATTTAGGGAGGAGCAGAAAGTCTTTCCAATGTGAATGTGATGCAAATGTTGTTGTTTTTCTTTCCTTCACTTTCTTCCCTCCCTCCCCCCCGCCCCGCGCAACACCCCCTTCACCTTGCTCCCCCTCTACGCTATATTGACATATCAGCCAGAATATTTTCAAAAGTCCTTTTGGCCCACATCGCCCTTAAAGGGCAATCCACACCTCCACCCCCTCCACAGCCCCTAAGCTTTGTCACTTTGGCGTCTGTTAATCACATCAAGGTGGCCGTTTTGTTTATGTTTTGGACGGTTTATAGGATCACGTTTTAAACCACTGCATGGTACTTGAACTGTGGGTTCAAAACTTCAAAGAAGGCTGCATTATAAATAAGAATTTGTTCCGGGTTGCATTTATAGAAAATATTTTTACTTTCATTTGATTTAGGAAAATGAAACATAATAACTTTTACTGACAAAAGACGGACTTAAAAATACCTACCCATCTTAATATGCTTATGTTTGCTATTTATCATTGGTTTCCATGTGGGGAAGGAAAAGGAATGCTGTGCAAACAAAATGCATTAACAACCCTTTTCTAGTGTAACTTGCAGTATTACGGGGAATGAGCTCAAATATGTTGAGTCCCTCTTCTCAAATGCATTACTTATTTCTTCCATACAATTTCAAATGCTATGCAGGTTATCTGACCATTATACCCACCAAACTACAGTTTAAATGGGGTGTCTTCGTCTATGTGCTATCCATGGTTAGAATAAAGTAGTGTCTACAACAGGAAACGGTTCCTTGAGTCTGGGTTGGTTTGTGTGCAATGGACAACGTGGAAGTGATGCCTGCAAACTCAGCTGCCTGTGGGTCGCCATTCCCTACAGCGCAGCAGCAGCAGCTTTATGTAGGTTAGAGAGGGGGAAGGGAGCTACTTGTGACGTTGGCATTTTGTCCCAGGCTGCCGCTGCCCCATGTGCCTCAGCCGCGTTGTGCGCAGGCTCGGTAGGGACGTGACTCTATGCAATTGGCACTTGAAGCCTCATTAAACGAAATGCACATTCCAGGGATAGAGAGAAACAGAGAGAGATCTATAGCCAGCACCTCCGTCACAGCACTAGGCACCGCCTCCCGGCTGCTATTTCTGGGATCTCAGGTCCCTCCCTCAGTCAGGCTAAACTTTTACTAAAGGTAGCGAGAGCAGCTTGTACAGTACATAGGGATGGGTGTAAAAAGCTTCACTATAATACTCTTTCATCCTGCAGTGATATCAAGCCTACTTTAAGCATAAAATCTGCGGCCGTTCTTTCATTCAGAATAGGGATGAGTAGACTGGAGCCAGTGACACCCAGTTGGCATTAGGGGTTAGAGGGGCCGTTTACAGTTGTACACTTGGCTACTTCTGTAAGTTTGGTGAAGGAGGGAGGGCGGTGTGTTTGTAATTACACACTCAGCTGGGGTTAATATGTAGCATGGTTGCAGGAACAAACCCGGCTGGCACGAAGATTGATTTACAATTACAGAGGTGGTGTAGACTGTTTTAGTATGCACATAATGAACTGAAATTTTTATTTTTACCCTTTATTCTGCTGTGTTAATTTTTGGATTATATTTGTTGGCTAGTAAACACAGGAAGCACTCCTCTTCAATTAAGAATTTTAGATTTCCATTTTCAGTCTTTTTCCTCTCACTGAATCCAGGTTCACATCTCCTTTAGACTGGAATGAACCAGTTAAGTGTGGCAAGATCAGGGTAATAATTATATTATGTTTCCTACAACTGGATTGGTACGGAGCGAGAGGGGGAAAAATCCCGCTGACGTTCCTCTTTTGTTGTTGCTCTTCAAAATGCCAGGTTGCTTGAAAGGATTAACCAAAAGGAAGAGAAAAAAACACCCTTAGAGAAACAGTTGCGATGAGTCTTAAATCACATGAAAAAACCTGTTCTAAAAACTACAGAGGTACTTTAATGCCAAACTTAAATGTTTTTACATGTTAAACTCCACATAAGTCTCCTCTTGGGTATTTCCAAAAAAGAAGGTGCTACTAATAACTCAAAAGCCTCCCCCAAGCATATTGTTGGATCTCCGCTCCTCATCCCAATCCCAGCCTCACCCTATAATAAACAGAGAGAATGTAACCACTCCAGGTCTTACTCCAGTGCAAGCTGGGGCACAATGTGACCCTCCCTGACCTAGTCTAGTGCAAACGGGTTAGGTAACTCATCTTTACAACTGTGGCTGGTAATATCCATTCCCCTTAGGATGTTTCTCCCCGAAAAGTGGGCTAAGGAGACATCGCAGTGGAATCCTATAACCCTACCCACATCAGTGTGTGATCGATCATTCATTCTCACAGGGATTTTGCTGAACAGCGGCATAAGTCAAGAATCATAATTTGACTAGTGGCTTTGTCCAGGTTCCATGCCCATAGAACAGACCCTTCCTCAACTTACACATGCAATGTCTTTACCAGATAGAAACTGCAATGTTGAGTGAAATAAAATTCACCATTAAAAGCATACTTTTGTTAATTTACATAAAACTAGTTCAGGACTATCAAGATCCAAGCTCTTAAGAATTCGCACCTAAAAGGGAAGCAATGAAATAACCAAAAATAAATTCAACCATGAAAGATGCTAAGGGTCTCAAAGGAGCTATTTTTTTTTCAAATATGCATTTCCTTTTTTTTAATTTTACATTGGCTATTTAATATTGAAACTATATTGTAACTTTCTTGATGAAAGAATTGCTTTAAAATGGGGAGGGGGGAACTATTTTGGTGCTATACTGCTTTTCCATAAAAGGCTCTAGATTTAAGAGGGTTAAGCCTTGATGCTGAGCTTTTCAGAATAGCAATTCCTTATACTGGATCAAAGGTTTTTCAAACCGCCTGAGCTTTTATGCTGCTCTGAAGCAGGTTTATCAATGTATACTAAGTAAACAAACCTTTGTTTTTGTCTTCCACCCACCGCCCTCTCTCTCTCTCTCTCTCTCTCTCTCCCCCCCTCCCTCCCTCTCTCCTCAGACTGAAGTTGGATCACTTCCAAATCGGCTGCAGAAGCAGCTATTGCTGCCTCCTCCACACACATACAGGAGCAGGGTTTCTAGGGTGAGGCAATGCGTCTGCAATTCACAGAGACAAGGCAGGAATTGTAATTGTACTTCATCATGTGACGACTTATGAAAGAGGAAGTTTGGATGGTTTAGTCACGTAGTCCTCTGCCCTCTTGCTTAAGCCTCCAGGTCTTCTCAAAGGAAAATTATTATAGTGTTTGCCCCTTGGAGTCAAGGGTGCGAAACTGATTGCAGTTTGAGCTCATATATTAATACATGTGTGGACACACATCAGCAATGTAAACTTTTATAAGGCATGGGAGAAAAGGCAGAGAGCAAACCTGCCAGTTGTAAATGGATTTTAACTGAAACACAGAAACTGCAATTTTTCATAAGCACTAGGAAAATATACTATGGGGAACAATCTTGCATGGACTAGATGAAGTAATCTGGTCCTTTCCAGCTCTGATTTCTAAGGTTCTATTTATAAAATTATAGCACTGGAGCTAAAGGAAAACTATTTAAATAATTACTGGCAAAAAAAAAAAACAGGAGTTAGGGTGGAGGAGGAAGAAGATGGAAAGGAAGAAAAGGAAGCAAAATTGATAGTTGAAGCTTCAGGTTAGAATGACTGGTTCTCCAAAATGACAATTTAAGTTTTCATTGTATAAAAAAAAATTCTTTTTAAAACAAGTTGGGTCCGCAGATCCTAACAACCCCTCCCCCAATATTCCTCTTGACAACCGCATTGTAACCTTGCACATATAGTACAGTATATAGAAATAGTTACAAGTAGAGGACACCTAATGGAGTTCAGCAGTACTGACATGAAGCTGCATAAGGCTATTGAACTAGAAGAGAATATAACCGTATTTCCCCATTACTGGATGTAATACTATATTATGAGTAAGAAGAGTGTGATTTCATTGATAGTTTGGGGAGGTATTACTATGGTGACTTCACTGAATTCATTGATTTCATATCAAATCTAGATGTGAAATCACAGCCTTCCTTTTCAGAGTGCAGTTCCTGGTATGATT